CAGCTTGGTATTAGCATAAAAACAGAGACATTGACCAATGAAATCAAATTGAAGACCTGGATATTAATCCACAGACCTATAAACACCTGATTTTTGACAAAGAAGCTAAAATTATACAATAGAAAAAAGAAAGCATCTTTAACAAATGGTGCTGGCATAACTGGATGTCAACCTGTAGAAGAATGAAAATAGGTCCATATATATCACCATGCACAAAACTCAATTCCAAGTGGATTAAAGACTTCAATATAAATCCAACCACACTGAACTTGAAAGAGGAGGAAGTGGGAAGTAGCCTTCAATGCATGGGTACAGGAGACCACTTACTAAGCATAACCTCTGTGGTTGAAGCATTTCATGTTGCTTCATTGAATTACTTTTTTGTTGTTGCTTGAAAATGTCTGTGTTATCTGCAAATATGGCTTCTACTGTTGATGTACTTGAAATGTATCCTTTTGATCTAAACTGAGTCATGACACCAAATATACTGTGACTGAAGAGCATCATCATTCTTAGGCACTTCGTTGATTCTTGAGAACCTGCTCATTTTCAGTCTTTTGATGACTTACCAGATCAATGTTTCCTGATCCCCTGTAAAGAAATCATTCACACAGTGTTTACAATGGAATCCAATTTTATGAAATTGACTTATATAATATAGTATTTGTGAACACTGTCACCTGGTATCCAAACAAATAGCAAAATAACAGAAAGCTGACTTCTGTTTGAACTCAGCTCCTCAGCATTAGATGTGTATAAAACCAAGCTAAAATCAAATAGACTGATAAAATATAAACAATATAAAATATAAATGTTAGGTATAAGGGATACCCCCCTGTGCTCTGCTATATTCTCTTAAGTTTACATTCAGCTATGGGTCTTCATGTAGAACCAACTCTCATCTGTACAATAACATCTCTCTTGCCTTAGAAAATACAATTATTTGGGCTGGACAGATGGCTCAGTGGTTGAGTACTGCTCTTCCAGAATATCTGTGTTCTATTTTCAGCATCCAGTCACAATACAGCCATCTGTAGTCATAGTTCCAGGGGATCCAATACCCTGTTCTCCTTCTGTGGGCACTACACACACACACACACACACACACACACACACACACGGAAACATGCATTAAAAATAAGCAATTTAAATTGCATTTGTTCAATTATTTACTTTTCTGTGTACACACATGCATCATAGTCTGTATATGAAGGTCAGGGGATAACTTTCTGTGATCAGCTCTCCCCTTCTGCCAAAGGATTCACCTGAGTTCTCAGGTCAGTGATATTTGCAACAAGTGGTTTTGTATACTTGACCATGGCAGCAGCTCTGTATTTTGCTTCTCTATGGCTATAAATTATAGTCAGTTCCATTTATACATTGGTATAAATCCTCTAGTTTATTGAAAAAATAACATACCACCTCAAGTTAATTCCAATTCTCTAATGACTGTGTATTACCTATTTTTTTGCTTTCTTCCATTAGAAAATGTAGCCTAAGCTTTGCTAAGTATGACTAACTTTCAGTATTCTTGTTCTACAAAGTACACTATTTAATTGTTTCATTTAAAATTATTGGCTAGAGAATAATGATGTATGATGCCCTACACAAATTTAAAGTGATTAGATTGCTAAATCAATGAGTCATAAAATTATGAAAATATTAGTAAGGTTTTGTTTTATGCATAATTGATAAGTTGTTCAAACAGGTGCAGGTATTTGGGGCAGGGGAAAATTGTTTGCTTGAAAACTTGTCACATTTTTCTAAAACAGCTTAATTGTTTTTGGTGTCATTTAACTTTATAAACCAAATGCTCAAAATTTAAATCTAGTGTTTAAATTTGTCAGCCTAAGCAAAAGAAATACAAAATCAAACAATAGCAGTAACAACAATAAAAACTACACATGACAGAGCATGCCCACAACCCCATTCCAGCACTTATGAGGTAAAAGCAGAAAAATCGGTGTAATTGAAAAATAAAAAATGCTGCGGATCCCCAGTGGCAGCAGGCAGCAGAAATGCTGTCGGTCCCCAAGCAGTGGTAGTGGGCCATGTGGTGGCAGGCAGTGGGCCCTGAGAGCAGCCAGTTCCAGGCAGAGATGGCTGCCAGTCCCCCAAAGCTGGTCCCCAGCAGGGACACACGTGGTAGGAGGGCCAGAGACAGAGACATAGATAGGCATGCCATGCAGAGTGAGGTTGGATATTTATTAAGTGGGTTATGGAAGTATGGAAGGGAAGGGGGAGAAGAAAGAATAGCAGAGAGAGAGAGAGAGAGAGAGAGAGAGAGAGAGAGAGAGAGAGAGAGAGAGGAGAGATGGAAGTTGCTTCTCCTAGAGGGAAACAGAAAAGAGAGAGAAACTAAGGCTGCAAATAGGAAGGAAAACCTGCCTGCCTCAGTGGATAGGGGAGGAAGTGGGTGTGGCTTGTCTCTTAAAGAGACAGAACAACCATTACAATCAGTGTTCATGGTCATCCTTGGCTACTGAATTCTGAGTTAGCATCGGTTAGAAACTAAAAAGCTTTTAGCTTCATTAGAACTAAAAGATGGTAAGGCAGGAAATATAGGGAGAAGCACTGTAAAGTTCTGTCTTCAACATGACTCAATAACAGCTCTAGCTATATATATACTAGCTCTACAGAAGACAGATTTTCAAGTTGGTCACAGATCATAGAAGGGATCCTGAGGTCCTGTTTTTCTTTACAAAATTATTTGCTGATGAATTCTGGAGTAGTAAAACTCATTGGCCCCATAGACTACATGGACAGCTCAAAATTCATGGTCCCACTTAGATTCAATAGGCCTCAATAAAGAAAAAAAGAAAATGAAAGGTAAATATAAGTAAAAAGGGTTAAAAAGTGTGAGGAGGGGGAATTAGTAGGAATGAGAGTGAGTGTCAAGAGAATAGAGGGGTTATTATAATCAGAATGTACTTTAGAAGCATGTGACATGATGAAAGAACAAATTTAATGAAAGATTTTAAAAGGAAAGGAAAAGAAACACACATTCCTCAGATTCACTGCCTGAGATTCTTTCATCTATTTCTTATATTCTCTTGGTGATGCTTGTGACTGTAGTTCCTATTCACTTACCTAAATTTTCCATTTCCAGAATTTCCTGAGTTTGTTTTCTTTATAACTTCTATTTCCATTTTAAGGTCTTGAACACTTTTATTAATTACCTTCAATTTGCTGTTTTTTCTTGGCTTTCTTTAAGATGTTTATACATTTCCTCGGATTTTTGATTATCATTTCCTTGATTTATTTAAGGGATTTATTTATTTCTTCTTTAAGGGCCTCTATCATGCTAATAAAGTTGGTTTTAGGTCTTTTCTTGTACTTCAGCTATGTTAGAATATTCAAGGCTTGCTATAGTAGGTTAGATGAGCTCTGTGGAGATACATTGCCCTAACTGTTGTTGTGTTCTTACATTGGCATCTAATCACCTCGGTTTGAAATGATTACAGAACTAAGTGATGATTTCTGGGTTTCTTTTTTAGATGAGTAATTTGTTCTTTGGTTTCTGTTTCCACTCTGATCTTTTAACCCGTGTGGTCTGTTGTTGAGCAAGTGGTCTCTACTTGATTTAAGGGTTGGACTTCTGGTAGAATGGTAGACTTCATGGTCTCTTGTTGAGCAGTGGTTCCCCGTCTGAGGTTGGGGTAGGAGTTCTGGTGGCCTATGTGACCTCTGATCTAGCAGGGAGTCTGCCTGAATTGGAGGCAGAGTGGAGATAGTGTTGAGGGGCACAGAAAGTAGAGGTCTGCAGGTAGGTGGCCTACCTAATTGTCTGGTTACTGTGGCCTGTGTTTGGGCAGGGGGCATCTGCTGGAGTTGGGAGCTAGGATAACATGACAAACAGGACAGGGACAACTGAGAACAATGATTGTTGGAAGCTAGAAAGTGGGGAAGGTCTAAGGATGGACTGCCTATCAGAACCCTTCGTGGTCTTTTGGCAGGTGAGGTCTGTGGTTGGAGGGAGTGTTTGCCCAGTGGAATTGAGTCTTTCTTGTATTTTTTTTGTATTTTATTATTATATCTTAGAAAGCTATTTGTTTCATAATGAGATACAGAAAGGCAGTGGGTCCAGATAGGAGAGGATGTGGTGAGAAAGTAGGAGAAACATGGGAAGAGAAAATCATAATCAGCATATAGTATATGAGTCAAAAAATCTATTTTCAATAATAAAAAATAAAGGGAAAATAAAATCAATATATTTTATGCTAGGGTCTATATTTTCTCTAGCAATACTTTTTGAACATTTTTACAGCATCATACATTAATTACTTCTTATGGACCGATTAAATTCAATCAAGGTAGTTGATTGGTTACCACCATGAACATCCTTGGGACTATTGTACTAGAAGACACATCTTGCTTGGCATCTTGGTATTTCAACATGCTGTGTGTTCAGTGCTTGATAAAGCCATTGATATCTTCTTAATAATCCCTTTGATAATAGAATATAGTGGCACTGACAGTGGGTCTTAAGGGTCTCATTTAGTATTTCTGCTGTGCAATGTTTGAATACTGCCTCAGCTACTTGGAAAAACATCTTTTACAATTATAAAAAATAAAAATAAAATGATTTGTGATGGAGGGGAAGTTTTTATAGCCAAACTGTCCTAAATCATCTAATGGCTCAGATACACCTCCAAAAATTAGAAGCCCAGGAAAGATGAAAGGAAACTCCCAAGATGAACATTACTGACCAAATTGCCAGAATCAACTTAGCTTAGAATAGCTCCTATCATATTGTCTCATTGAAAACAATGACACTTAATAAAATATTTGTTTTTAGCAATTCTTCTTCTTCAGCAAATGCAAGCCATTATAATAACCAATGGCCATGAGGACAACTGTGTAATTTGCTGCTTTGGTGTTTTCCCAGAAATCAAAAGACAATATTCAGCATTTATTTTGTAACTATCCCAACATACTATATTTGGACATTGCTAAATGGAGATTATTGTTATAATAAAGAATTTTCATATTTGTGTAGAAAAGCTAGTGAACCAAAATTATATGACTGGACAGGAAATTAGGCTCTCTTACAGATTATATTTTTGCCATGAAGATAGAAGCCTAAAGAAGACACATAATAAATAACACTGATATTTTTCATTCTACTGAAAATTGCAAAATTCAGAATGGTGAGAAATTTTACATTTTACTTAGAACTTAAGATCACTTGGGTATCTGGGGAAAATGGGAGTTCCAGAGCAATACCAAAATATTAACTTTACTACTACTACTACTACTACTACTACTACTACTACTACTACTACTACTACTACTAGCATAATATAAACATGTCATTCAGGGGCTGAGAGATGACTCAGTGGTTTAGGATACTTGTTGCTCTTTCAGAGGACCTGAGTTTTGTGTCTACTACTGAATTCAGGAAGCTCACAACTTCTCATAACTCCAGCTCCAGGAAATCTGAAACCATCTTCGGGTCTTTGGCTCATGCAGTCATGTACACAAGCCCAAACACAGACTCGCATAGACACAGATAAATCCTTTTTGAATGTATCAATTAGTATTCAAAGAATAGTTATTTAATATGGCAGATCTTTTATATTTCAATGACTATATTTATTGTATAACAAAGAAATGTTTTTACCGAGATTGAATTTATGATGCATGTGTTTAAATCATCACGTATCAGGTCCACTGCCATTCTGAGGCCAAAGCAATTAACTTATTAAAAATTTGTTTTTCTCATGACATACATTTGATCATAAGCTTCTCCTAATAGCTATAATGAAAAAGAGAGCAAAATCTCCATGAAGCTAAGAAAATTCCTTACTGAGATACAAAGCACAGAAGTCTGCAAGATGCAGAGTCAGGAAAAGATGTAAGAAGGCAAGAAGGGCTTGCACAATCATAGCTGTCATCATCTATGCAAATGACCTTCATTGTCAGATGTGAGTGCACCCTCAGTGGAAGGAGCACAGAGGAGAAGCACAGCACAGACTATGTTTTAGTAATATCACAAGAAAAATAACTTTCTTTTCCATGGCATTAATGCAAATTATTCATCAATGAAAGGAGATCCAGAGATGGTAAAGTCAGATTGTGAGGAAAGATGGGGATATGTTAAAGGACATGTGCAACATGAAAGAGAAAAAGATTGAGGGATGTTACACAGTCTATTAGAGGTGACAGTGTGTGGCAGAGATGGGGAAGGAAAATCTACTAAAGCATACTTTGTTTTGAAAATACCATAATATATCTTTCATGTTAATTAGGGACAGTGACCCACATTAGAGCACTGGACTGAGTTCCCAAGGTCCAGTTGAAGAGCAGAAAGAGGGAGAATATGAGCAAGGAAGTTAGGATCATGAAGGATTGGTCCACCCCCTGAGACAGTGTGCCTGAGCTAATGGGAGCTCACCAAAGTCAGCTGGACTGGGACTGAATGAGTATGGGATCAAACTGGACCCTCTGAATGTGGCTGACAATTGGGGCAGACCGAGGGGCCAATGATAATTACACTGAGATTTGTCTCTACTGCATGTACTGGCTTTTTGGGATCCTGTTCTATTTGGATGTATGCCTTCCTAAGCTTGGATGTAGAGGGAAAGGCCTTACCTTCCTAAGCCTGGATGTGATGTAGGGGAAAGGGCCTTGGACTTCCCACAGGGCAGGGTACTTTGCCCTCTCTTAGGACTGGAAGGTGTGGGGGGAGGGAGAGGAAAGTGGGGGAGGAGGGGAGGAAGTGGAAACTTTGACTTGTATTATTTATAAAGTAATAAAAGCATTAACATTTTTTCAGACTGAAAACAACATTGAGAAAGTGTGAAAGTTGTAGAAGAGAAAATTAGGTGCTGGGAGAAGCAGCATGCTTACAGATGAATTACCTACTTCACAGAAAAATTGAAATCAAATAAATGAAAACTACAGTAAACACATACAAACAACAATCCCTACTTCTGTCATCTTACCCCAAAATGAAACTTCTCTTCTATTAATTCTCTGGGAGTTTTACATGTTTTGGTCATATGAGGCCCCTTCTTCAGTTCTTTACAGATCAAATTCCCCATTCCATATCTATACAAATTTGTGTCCTTTTATTTTTAAACCCTTTGAGACTAATTTGTGCTGCCTAAATACTTTTGCATGTGTGGCCTTCCACTGGAGAGTGATCAACTTACAGGAGTATACACTTTTAGCAAAAACTGTCTCTCCTTCTCCAAGCAACTAAAAATAACTACACCACTTGTGGTGGAATTGTGTGCCACCTCCCCTCTCTTTGCTTAGGTTTAATCTGACTTGGATTTGTACAGATTTTATGTGTAATTTTGCAACTTCTGTGAGTTCATATATGCAGATGTCTTGTTGGGTCCAGAAGACAATGTTCCCTTGTAGTCATCCACTGCCTCAGGCTCTTATACTTTTATCCTTTCTTCCAAAATGATCCCTTAGCTTTGGGAGTGTGGTTGGTATACATGTTCAAGAGAAAGAGAATAAGAGATTTCAGAATGTTCAGCTCTTAAACTGGAATTTCTTGTTTCAAAACATAAGACCCAAGACAGTAATCACTTTTCTAGTTTTTTTCTCACAAAGTTCTTCAGAGCTCTCTTGATGTCATTGTTCCTCAGACTATAGATGAAGGGGTTCAGCATGGGGGTGACTACAGTATACATCAATGAGGCTATTGCAGTGGAGTGTGAGTTTTGGGTCACAGCAGAACTGAGGTACACTCCTAGAAGGGTACAATAGAATAAGGAGACAACAGAAAGGTGAGATGCACAGGTGGAAAATGCTTTGAACTTCCCCTGTGCTGAGGAGATTGCACATATGGAGGACACTATCTTGCCATAAGAGTAAAGGATGCCAGCGAGACAACCACCACCCAGGAGTGCAGCTAAAGCATTCATTACCATATCATTTAAAAAGGTGTCAGAACAGGCAAGGTGAACCAGCATACTAAGTTCACAGAAAAAATGTGGAATTTGCACATCAGCACAGAATGAGAGCTGCAGCACCAGGGAGCTTTGTAATGAAGAATTCAGGGAGCTTGTGATCCAAGACACCAGAACTAGCGACACACAGAGCTGAGGTGTCATAATGCTTGTGTAGCGCAGGGGGTGACAGATGGCCACAAAGCGGTCATAAGCCATTACAGCCAGGAGGAAGTTATCTAGCCCTACAAATAATGAAAAGAAGTAAATTTGCATGATGCATCCTTCATATGTTATGGCCTCGTGGTGTGCATAAACATTCACCAGCATCTTTGGGATGGTAGTGGAAGTTAGGCAAATGTCCACAAAGGACAGGTTGGAGAGGAAGAAGTACATGGCTGTATGCAGGCAGACGTCTGAGATCGTGGCCAGGATGATGAGAAGATTCCCCAAAATGGTCACAAGGTACATGGAGAAGAGGAGCCTAAATAAAAGGGGCCGCAGTTCTGGGTCTTCTGAAAGGCCCAGGAGAAGAAACTGTGAATTTTGAGTATCATTTTGCTGTTTCATGTGCTGTGACTGCTGGAAAAGACAGAAATAATAAGACTGCTATGGCATGCACACTAATACCAAAATACAAAAACCACAATATAATAAATACATGTGAAGAATAAAGTCCCCACGGGCAAAACATAAGAAAGAAAACAGTCACAATGGCTGTAGAATTCACAGGGATTACTGCATAATGAGATCTCATCATTACTAGAAACATGAAGATACTTAGACAAAGTAATGCTCCTAATGTATTATTGGATTCACTTGTCTATAGTCAGGACTACAGGTTATTTGTGTAGCTTATCAGGATGTGTGTGTATGTGTGTACATGTGTGTGTGTGTGTGATGGGTTTCTTAATGATATTTTCATTCAAGTATTTATTCACTCTGATTACATCCAAGTGTACTGTCCTATGTTCCTCCTCCCACACCCAATTAGTCACCTTCCTTCTCCAAAATAGTTGTTAAGAATACTTGGCTGCAGCTGCACTGATGGCTCAGTAGGAAGTGCACAGGCTCTAGTAGTACACCCAGGTTTGGCTTCCATCACCCACATTGTGGCTTACATCTGGAACACCAATTCCAGGGATAGGAACCCTTCCTCTGACCTCTGTGGAACACATATGGGGCACATACGTACAAGCAGGTAAAACACTCACACATAAAATAAATAAATCTGAGCATTAAAAAAATAAGAAAACCTGTGTTTTACTTTCTTTTTCAGACCTTGCACACCCAAATCATGGCCCCTTTAATGCAGCTGCTTGGGGGTTAAACAATACGGTGGAGCCATGATCCACTTGGATCTCAGGATGCCTGTGTAATTAAAATGTTGCACAATCCCACCCATGTGCATGAGATAGTTACATCAGTCAATCTCATAAAGTTATGAATAGAAAGGTGGCATAAGTGGAGAGGAGGAAATGAGGGCCTTATTTGGATGGATGTCACCTTTCAGTTATATAAGCAGAATAACTTACATATACCTGTAAATGCACACATTGCCTGTGCGAAGCATAGCAATATGCACTTTAAATTCTGCTATGTGGATTAGCCTTGGCCAGGATTTCTGTCATATAAAATAACAACAAAGGTCAGCAAAATGGCTCAGCAGGTAATGGTGCCACCATACTTGATGAACTGAGTTCCCTCCTGAGATCAACATAATGGAAGAAAAGAACTGACTCCTACCAGTTGTTCCCTGACATCCACACATGAACCATGGCATGTGCGCGCACACACACACACACACACTTAAGAAAAAGGAAGGACACTGTAAAATAAATAAGTAATACCAGGGAACTAGGAGGTGATGCTGTGTCTGTAGCATGGCTCACAATGATGGGACTGCAAGGGTCTGCAATATGTCTCACCTTATCCTAGTGCACACATTACACATAGACAGAATTTAATGTTCCAATAGAGCTGTTTACCTCAGAAGCAAAAAAGGCAGCACAGAGTTGAAGAATCCACTGTACCTGGAAAATCTTAATATTTCAGCATCACACAAATTGTTTCACCTTTCCCGTACATGCTAAAAAAAATTCTGATGAAAATATGTAAATGAATTTTAGTTGAGTGCAAAAGACTGTGTTGTGAAAATGCCTTCTTGGGAACTCCTCTTGAGCTCAGGAGTTCTTTCTCACGTTTCTGTAATATAGCTTCATTTGGTCTGCTCAAAAGAAAAGACTTTGTTGTATAAAGTGGCAAGAGATGATTGCTATAGAGAGACTGAATCAGCCACAAAAGGCAAAACTAGTTTTAAAGAAAAACAGACATGAAAAAAAAATCTACTAAAGGCATAAAAAGCTGTTACTACTGATAACATAGTAGATCTCCCCAGGATAAGAAGTATCAGGGTGACGAGTGTTGCAATGAATTCCTGGCAGAGTACATTACTCAAGATTTAGAACATTTCATATATCTGCCTTATACCCATACATATTTATGCATACAAAAAAACTAGGTGGGACTCTTCAAACACTGAGAGAGAACAACAAACAACAAAACAAACCCCTCCACCTCTCAATTTGTTGAAAGAATGAAAAGACACAAATATTTAGTTAGTGTCTACAGAGAACTTGTGAAAAACAAAAAACCAGAACATTTTAAATGTGGGAAAGGATGCTAACAATCCCCTACCTAGTACCAGTGGAAGGGAGGAATCAAAGCATAAAGTCCTTGTATTGTCTCTCTATTGTCCCTCTTACCTATCACACAGCATGTGACACTGAATTTTCAGTGTCACAGAAGACACTGGGCACTGTGTGTCTCAGAGACATCTGTGTTTAATCAAGCAATCAACAGTCTGATGTTTGTATCAAATATGGCAATGGGATAAACCAAGACGCATGTTTCCAAAACGCTCTAAGAACCCTCTTAACTTCACTGCATACACATCCACGCCTAGTGTCACAGGTCCTCCTCCACAACTGCAAAAGCCTTTTATGTGTTCTATCATAATTCTAGATGAAATACTTTGTGCTACATCTCTCTTTATTCAGTCTGATGCAATCATTTCCCCCATTACCATCCCATTTTCAAAAATTATGCATGCATTAGAGTCTAAAGGATGCTTCTGTTGCTTAATACATGAAATAAGCTTCTTGTTGAAGTAAGCAAAACAAAGCATGATAAAACAAATTTCTAACCCCTCAACCCAACACTAGGGTGGCTGGCCTCTTGGGGGCATCGGGTACATTTTATGATCTTCCATTCGTCATACATCACTGCTGATGTACTTACTCAGACTCGACAGGATGGGTCGAGCTGTGAAGCTCCCGATATAGAGGTCTTGATTCTTCCCTGATGGCTTTTTGCAACTCTGCTACAGAAAAGACTTTGATAGTGAAGGAAGCAGTTGTTCCTAATCCATAGATGGACTGCAAATAGGAATAGTTTAAGCTGTCCATCTGAGAATTATCTCCTACAAGGGGTGATGCCTTTGTTGCTCCCTGTATGCTCATTAGGCACAATTCCAAGCTCTATGGCGCTAACTGATTTCCCTGGGGAACAATGGTCTGAGCAGAAAAGAAATTTTCCTGTCATGTTTTATTACCGTGAGACATAGTAAGAAAGAGGCAAACCCAGTGCTTATCACTTACTCCTTCACAAATCTGCCTTTCAGAAAGCAAGTTTCCTTAGCATGTTTGCCTAACCATCACTTTCAATTGTCTTTCCTAACTTGAATTCTCAAGACTTGAAGTGTGGATGGCACACATCTTTGTAGACTTGGAGGGTGCTTATCTGTCTTCATCAAGGGAGAGAAACATCATTAATAAGCTATGAGAAAGAAGCTACTGTAATGCTCAGATTCATGAAGGTTTTTACAAGGTATTTAGGAGATTTACAGTAGGAGTATACATTCAGGACTGTCATTTATTCCTCGATTTATGAAAAATTTGGTAAGTATAAGAGCCTTGTTTAGAGAATTTATTCTCCATGGGCTAGTTAGAATGTTCTATCATTTAATTTAGATACATATCAATAATAAAGATACAGAATATAATGTATGTGTGTTTAATAATAGTGTGAACTAATTTTCCATCTGCAGAAATAAGGTTCAGGGACTAGAGCCATACCATTCTGAATATACACAATCTGGTTTATTCATGGAACCTGAGCAGAATCACATCTATTCAGTACTAGGATTGGAGAGTGCCTTGAAATACTAGATGCTGTAGGCTTATTTTCAAAATAAATAGTTTTCATAGACTTCAAAAATGAAAATGGTACTCTGAGTGGGCAAGTGAAGAACTGGGCAATGTTTACTGAGAATGCTCTCATTCTCCTGCTTTAGGTTAGAATTTGTCCTAGAGGGGATCAATCTTTCATGAGACATTTGGTCACATAGAGTAAATGCAGATTTTTATAAGTGGGGAGTTTGTGCTGTACCTAATGGGTAGTTGTTAAGATGCTTCTTAGACTCGTGCATAGGGAGCACAGCTGCCAGAGCTGGGGAGGTTTTGAAGAATTGTTCTAGCCCAAAACATCAAGTTGAGTATTAAGTACATAGCCAACACACCCAGCTATAAAACATTCTTATTAATTCTTTATTTCATGCACACTTGCAATGTATTTTAATTTCTTCCTTTTCCTACATTTAACTTCCTTGAGTTCCACTTCCACCCTTCTGGTCCCCTAAACGTCATTTCCTCTTTATCTTTTTACAACTCACTGAATATGAGCTGTGTTACCCTATACTAATGGGCTATCCACTGGAGCATGGTAAACCTATCAGGTGTGATGTCCACTGACTCTTTCCCCCAGGAGACTTTGATAGCTCCTCAGTGAGGGCTACGAGTTCTTTTCATGCTGTAATTCTGTTTGGCTGAACCTAGTGCAGGTCTTCTGCAGGTAACTATAGCTTACGCATTCCTGAATGCAGCGGACTTCTCAGAGCCCACAGGGTTCAAACCATGTGCATTCTGTTTTTTCCTTTTCTGAAATATTTTACTCAATGGAATTGCTTCTGATTACATATATCATGTTAGAGGTACTTCATGTGTTTTTATAGCCCACTTACAACTGATTGATGTATCTCATTTCCTTTCCTGTGCATCCATTGACCTCAGTGATGGATTCTGTATCTCAGCCATTTTGAATGATGCTGAAAAGAAGATGCAAATTCAGGATCACTCTATGATACTAGTTTCATTCCTTTGTTCATAAAAGTGGAGTCATTTCTGAATCACACAGATCTCCATTATTGAGTCCCAGAGCTGAAGCTCCTCTTTAAAATGCGGATATTTTAAACAACAGATGAATCCTTCCAGCTCTGTCAGTTTTGATTTTACATGGTCAGATGTTGGACTTAGTAATTCAGTTTTTGCTTTTTCAATTTTAAACCTACCTTTTGTAGAATTTCCACATGACAAGAAATAAGTTACATACCTTGGCTTTGTAAGGTTTAAGTGCAAACTATGTAATTTATAAAGACACTACCTAGTATGTAGTAGATGTTCATAAATAGCAGCAAGTGTGGCTATTTTACTGTATCTTTTTTTATTTTACTGTATCTTGTTTATTAAGTTCACTATGCCCACCTCAGATTAGAGCTGGAAATCAACAACAACAAAAAACTTACTGATTCATAGAATATGAACCAACTGAATTCACCACTGAACGAAAATTTGTCAAGACAGAAATTAAGAAAGAAATTAAAACCTTTTTAGAACTAAATGAAGATGAAAATCAAATTATCCAAACCCATGGAACATAATGAAGGCAGTTCTAAGAGGCAATTTCATACCACTAAGTGCCTATATAAACAAATGGGAGAGATCTCTTACTAGTAATTTAACATCAGCTATAAAAGCTACAGAACCAAAACTAGGAATCACACTAAAAATAATAGATGGCAAAAATAAACTTTTGGATGAAATCAAAGAAATAGAAACTAACAAAAAGCAATCAAAAAATCAATGAGTTGATAGTTTGAGAAAATCAATAAGATAGGCAGGAAGAGACTATCCAGTCAACAAAATTAGATATGAAAAAGGGCACATAACAACAGAAACTGAAGAAATCCAGAGAATCAAGAAGACATACTTGAATATTCTCTCTTTTTCTGTTTTATGTGGTGCTGCAATTGGAACCGAAGAACTTTTACATGGTAGATGAACAGTACACCACTGAGCTACATTCCCAGCCCTGAGCACACACTTTAAAAATCTGCACCCCACCAAATAGAAAAATATAAACAAAATCAATAATCTCGATATAAATCACCTACCAAAATTAAATCAAGATCAGATCAGCAATTTAAACAGACCTATAACCCCTAATGAAATAGAAGCAGCAATTAAAATCTCCCAATAACATCAAAAAAATTCCAGAGCCAGATGGTTTGAGGACAGAATTCTACCAGAATTAATGCCAATACACCTCAAATAATTCCACAGAAATAAAGACAGAATGAATATTGTCCAATTCTTTTTATGAGGCCACAGTTACTCACTTTGATACCTAAACCACCTGAAGGCCAAACAAAGAATTACAGACCAATCCCCTTATGAAAATGGATGCAAAGTTCTCAATAAAATAATTAAAACAGAGTATAAAAACATACCAAAATATCACCTAACATAATCAAGTAGGCCTCATCCCAGTGATTCAGAGATGGATCAATATACATAATTCAATAAATGGAGTCCACCATAAGAACAAACTGAAAGACAACCACATGATTTCATTAGTTGCAGAGAATGACTTCACAATG